CTTTGGATCTCTCTCACAAAATCTGTGTATTCAGATATCTGTTTGAGAGTTTTTTTAACTATTCATATTTAATGGGGTTTTTTTAAATACTTTCTGTAGCTCCTTTGATCGAATTTAGAGTCGTCAACGATAAGGTGGACTTCAATTGACGTGATAAGGTGTTAGAAGCCGGCTAAAAAAGAAAGAAAAACGGCTTCCGTCGTCTTTTTCCCGTTCACCTTCGATTGCGAAAGGCGCTCTTCTGATCCATTTGGTTGTTTATCTCCTGATGCAGTATATCATGTTCCTCAGACGCAAAACCTTACCAACCCTTGACATATGAACAAGAAAATCAGAAGACATCCTTACTCTATAGGGGTGCTAGCACTTGACTAATACAATAGAAAGTCGCCGATTGCTACTAAGAACCTAACAGAACTTTTTGGATCCCCCTAGTTGAAGACTATCGCCCACAATTAGAACCCAATCTCCGGTCAACGATCGAGTCCAAAGCTCACCTAAAACGGCGTAGCTGACGAAGTGGCGTTAAGCATCCCTAGCGGTACGAAAACAGAGGAAAGTACAATGTTATAATAAAAAATAACGAAAGTGGGTTACTATTTATTGCATTTTACCCTTTTTGATTCATTGAATGTAAGGATGACAAAATACCCTGTATTTGGCGGAGAACATGATACCCGAACCTGGTTTGATAAAGGACATATCACATATAGGCTATGGCACATGTGATACAAACATGTTGCGTTCACTGGCCATAGCGCAGGCTGACTTTTCCCGCAACCTTGATTGTGTTGACCAAGTTACACGCGTCCTTTTGGATGTGTTTGTATCACAGTAATTTTATTCTATGATCACATGTGATATGACCCTTCTCGCATTTCTAACAAATTGAGTGACTTCTCGCATGATCCTCCATCTAAACCTTTATATTTGATCTGTACACCCGACATCAATAAATTATGAGCTACCAATAAATATGGGCTTTGCGTTGTTATTATTAGGCGAAATAGATTACCTATCTTTTGATTACAAATTTGGGGACCGTTCATTATACAAAATCGTAAATCAAACTGTTTCTATTTGATGGATCAGTTAAATGAAGAAAGTATTGGAAGGACTTGTCAAGTTCGATTTGATTTGGTTTGATTTGATAGTTAACAATAGAATTAAAATACAATATACAGACTTTTTCAAGAACGCTTATAGTGCAAGTCGAAGGTACTCTTTGTTTGGAGCTTAATGGTATGAGGTGTTTATTCGTTCATACACACACGTATATATACAGGGATTGGTTCATGTGAGGAAAAGAAAATATATATATTCATTGATAAATATATACTAAAGAATTTCAATGCGTATATGCATATATATATATATATATATATATATATAGAGAGAGAGAGAGAGAGAGAGAGAGAGGGGTTTACTTTGCAAACCACGTTATTTGTACAAACCGTACAAAACTCATTCAACCAATCATAATTTTTCATTTTGTTCATTTTTTGTAATTATGAGAGGTTGATTAATCATTTTTATTGTGGAGGGTGTTAATCATAGATATTATCATCTTCATTATTTTAGTTTTAGAGAAATATATGAAACAGTTTCATTAAAATTTCATTAAGTATTATATGAAACAATTTCATAACCATATATGAAACAACTTCATTAAAAAAAAGTATTATATGAAACAATTTCACAAGATTAAACAATTTCATGAAAAATTTCCATAAGATTAAACAATGAATCAACAGATGAGGGTGGTTTGCACGGTTTGTACAAACTGGGTGGTTCGCATTTGATCACTCCTCTATATATATATATATGTGTGTGTGTGTGTGTGTATAAATATATATAAGAGTTTTCACGGCTCTCAAATTCTTTGTGGTTCTTATGTGAACCTAAGTGTCTGTGTTTAGGGGGGGGGGGGTGATTCAAACGATATGAGATGGGTTTAAACGAGAACGTGTATATACCCATTAATCTGCGTATCACCACCATTATAATTAAGTTAAATAATGATATGGTTTTCCTCTAAAAATAAATAAAAGTGAAATATATGAATCGTTCTTGAATGTAGTTAAACGCTACCAATTGCTATTATTGTTCTAATTTCGTACCAGACACTCAACTTTCAAATTATCTTGCATGTATCGTCCCTCACTCTAACTTCCATCAAGTTGAGTTGTTAAGTGCCCTCACTCGCTAATCACGTGATATGGATTAGAAGAATTTGATTTCAAGGACCGTTAATCATCTTCGTGTTCTTCATCAAGTTCTACAGAGCTCAACCCAAAAATACTACTAAAAACCCTTGTCCAATCTACTTTCAGAGCTCAATCGAAAAACAAGACCTCAGAATTCACATCCAGAAAATGACAGCTCTGAACAGGACATAACAGAACAAAGATCACCATTTCACGTTTAACTTTGGGTTTTTTTTGGTTCATGATTAGATTTGATTCATAAACCTTGCTTTTGTTGATAGTCTTCTGGTCATGGGGCAGCTCTAAAACCTAAACAACACCAAGTATTCTTAAATGCAAAGTTAAGAGAGTGATGCAGGCCTAGACATAGAGGACCAAACGTTAGTGTTACTGGAATCCCATGACCGAGCCAACAAGAAGTGTCGCAGATAAACGCATATAACTTTTGCTACATGTATTGGGTTCAGGCCTTGATACACCGATTTGAAGCTTAGAATGAGGAGCATACCTACCTTGGGTAGGACCTGAAGAGACCTACAAGATTTTTGAGTCGAAAATGTCGTTTAAACATGTTTTAAGACACTTTTTCTGCTTGGGCTTTTATATTTGACCCATCGTCTCTTTTTGGGGTTGTTTCATTTTGAACTCTTTATCTATATGTTGAAGGCGTAAATGGATGGTCACCTGATCAATAATAGAAAGTTCATTTTTCATAGGTTTTCAGTGAATTCGAGTTTGAGCATAAAGCTTGGCATTTGATTGAACAAGCATTAGAAGAGGTGATTCATAGGTATTCACATAATTAACGGGTTTAACCTTTAGTTTGATTATTGTACGCTCCATCAGAAAGGCTTCTCCTTGCTTCAAATTGCTAAGTGTAAATTCAGAAAACACGTTTACAAGGCTTGTTTAACTTGTGAAGACTAAGTGTAAATTCAGAAAGCAAACTCAGAAGGCAAGTTCAGAAAGCCTATTTTTGAAGTTCGGTAGGTAAGTCATCCTATACTGTATTATAAAGCATTTGACAAAAACTCTTAAAAATCATTTTTTATGCACGAAGTACTGTTTATTGATGCGTATTACTTGAAATTCAAGATTACAAATAAACTGTACATAATTATAACTTATTAAAACTTCATGTTTGAATTCGTGTAACCAACTGCATGGATTCCATTTAGGGCGGGACAGTTCATAACGCCTTGACTAAAATAATCTAATAGAAAGTCAAGGGGCTTGAAAGCTTACTTCTTAATTAGCTAAATTCCTGAGATCGATAAATATAGTCAAATACAAGATAAATATTTCATTTTAAATATAAAAAATCTAAAATATAATTAAGATTATCGTTGAGTTCTTACAAAATACTTAATTATTATTTTTATAAAGAATTATATTATTAAATCAAAAAGAAATTACTTCGTTATTAAATCTAAATTAAATTATAATAAAAATAGTTAATTTAATACTAATATTGATATATTTATTTTCGAAACTTTATGATATCTTCAAATTTATATTTTATTCAAAAATAAAAACATTATCTTTTTCTTAAAACCACATAAAAACCGTATTAAAACATCTACAGAGACAGAATAAAACAAAAAATTAAAATCGAAATATATCTCGCTACATTGTGCAATTACATTTGTAGTATATATAAATGTGTCTCTTATTAGCTCTCATATGATATTCAAGAATCCATACATTTATTTGCAGTTTTCCACCACTTTCCTCTAGAGTAAATTACAATTTTTGTCCCTGTAGTTTGTTATTAGTTTTGATTTTCATCCTTATGATTTAAAATTTGCGATTTTCATCCCTATTGATTGCTATTTATTACTATTTCCATCCCGTGTTAATTTCTACCTTTAAATACAAGGACCTAAAACAGTAACGAATTGTAAACCATAGTGACTGAAACAACAATAAATTATAAGGACAAAATAATAGCAATGAATTACAAACTATGAAAATAAAAATTGCAATTTTCAAAGCACGGGGATGAAAATCGCAATTTTTAACAAACCACATGAATGAAAGACGTAATTTCTCTTTCTTCTATTTTACAAGTCTTCAAAACCCATAATTATATATTCAAGGTTCAACTCGTTTTTTTTTAATTCAAACTAAGGGTTCGTTTACCCAAATGCTTATCGGATAAGCGTTTATCGCTATGAGTCAACATTATAATTTATTGTACTGGGTAAGATTGTAGTAAATCAAAATGGTATTGTATGCAACAATTTACCCGGTAAGCACTTACCCGGGTAAGAGTCGTCACCCTCACTTACCGGGTAAGACTCTTCATCTTTACAATTGTTTTTACCGAATAAGATTTTTGACCCTTGCCATGTTCAGCTGATAAGGAAAGTTACCCGGTAAGCACTTTCCGGGTAAACGTTTAGTAAACGGCCCCTAAAACAACGTTAAATTATCAAAATCAAATGAATATACCTGGTAAAGAAAAATAAAAGTAAATTGCAAATTTTGAACTGATTCCTATTTTGTATAACGTACTTTCAAAACCTTCATTTCAGTACCTTATGTGTAACATCTCAAATATTTTTAGGTATTTGGTTTACATATGAGAATACATGAAACTGCTACGTACTTTGGTCTAATTCCTACGTTGTGTAACGTACTTAAAATCAAATATCTGAGACATCACATCTGAGATACCAAAAATGATGTGTCACAAAATAAGATTCATACCAAAATAAATTGCATTTTCATATAATTTGCCCAAAAATCAAATATCAAAAACTACTCATCTTTGACTTTGACTTTTGACTTTTATGAGATTCAAGACATAAAGCAGCAAGCAACAAGAATGTCAATCAACTCTTTCCTATTGATTCCTAAGAGGTTCAAGAAATAAGCATTTTAACAAGAATACATACCAACAACTCCCTACCCTTTGACTTTTGACTTTGACTTTGACTTTGACTTCTAAGAAACCAACAACACTACTACAACATTTTCTATCCCATAAGTTTAAAGATTCTTGTTAATTAATTTGTCTCAAATATCCTAAAATCAGTTGATAAATGAACCCCCAAGTTATATAGAAGAAGAAGAAGAACACGTACCACAGATTTAATCTTCGCTCAACGACACATTCATGTCTGTAGCCGCTCTTCTCCAGTCGTGCACGGCTGCAGACGTGCAGTTCTCGAGTTGGAAGTTACGAGTAGCGGTGGAACCGCTCTTTCCTGCTGTGGAACCGTCGTGCACATTTTCATTGAACTTCTGCTGCTCTATTTTGGTAGCATGAGGTTCGGTGGTGGGTGGTGGGGGTGAGGAGAGTTTAACCACGGTCTTTGGTTTTTTCGGTTTTGGCTCAATAGGACTGCCTATGTTCGGTAGAAAACTGGCCACGACAACCTGACATGAACACGACATGGGAAATGATAAGAAAAAAAATGTTTCCTTTTCTATATTTTGTTGACGAGGAAATCAACTGTCCCAAAATAAGGTCCACAAGTGTCCACATTTCTAGCTTAGTTTGTCTCAAAATAAGTGTCACTACCTACTTTCCAATCCTACCCTTCATTATGAGATGGAGAAATTTGTTTACTCCCTCCATGATTAAAGGTAAAATCGTCATTTAGTTGATTAAAAAGTGTAATAATTACACGTTTCTAAAACTGTGCCTTTTCAATGTGGACATTTATTTGGGACGGATGGGGTAGCATTTTTAAGTTCAAATTTTCCTTCATTTGATCTCTAAAGTCAAATTGTACCTATTCTAAAACGAATAAGGGTGTACCTGAACAGGACCAGCGGCCGTGAGAAGGCCTCCAAGCTGACCTCCAACCACGCGCCCATCTGGGCTAGATAATGCTATGCTCATTTTACTTTCTTGGGATAATACTCCTTCAACCTCCGGTGTGAAAGATCCAGATAACGAAAGAATTTCAAATCTTCCCTACAAGAAAGTATGATAGTATCAAGTTAAGTAACGGAAGAACGATTTCAAAGAACTAATAAAATTACGTTTCACACCTCATATGTTACGGTGCCTCCAGACGAACTGGCATGGCGCAGAGTCACATGTGAAATAACACCAAGGGCAGAGAGAATGCATATTGACCGCGGCCCATCTTTTGTGAACGAAATGATTTTAGAGGTAACATCCTGAAAAGGTGAATCACAATTATTCAAAAGCAAAGATTATGCAATTTACTAGTTGTCTAGTTCTTTTAGTATAAATGTTTAAATTTGATAGTGATCGTAGGTGTCAATTTCTAGATGAACTTCTACCGGGTACGCCTTATATACCACTTTTGGGGAAGAGTTATTATGAAAATTTCATAAATCATCATCAAATCAAAAAAAATTCATTCACATTCTAACCAAACCAAACCAAACCACAAAAACCCAGTATATCCCACCCGAAGGTGGGTCTGGGGAAGGTAGGATGTACACAAACCTGACCTCTACCTCAAAGAGTAGAACGGAAGTTCCGTGACCCCCCCCCCCCCCCGGAAAGTGTGCGAAAAGAAAGGATAAAACTTGTTTTCTTCTACATTCTCTAGATGAATATATATATATATATATATATATATACACATATACATATATATGTGTAGAGAGAGGAAGGTTCAAACGAGAACGCTAACTATTTAAGATAACAAGAAAAGGTTGTTAATGTACAAAATCACATGTGATTTTACTTTCACATCACGAAAATGGAAGCGGACGACTTTTGAACCTGTATGATTATATACGTGAATATATATATATATACACACACACACACACACATATATATATATATATATATGTGTGTGTGTGTGTGTGAATCATATATGATTTAGTACGTGAATCATATATGATTTTGTACATTAACGGCATTTTTCTTGTTTTCTTAAATAGTTAGCATTCTCGTTTGAACCTGTCCCTATATATATGATATGGATAGCATATAAGCACAAAGAATAAGCATATTGAGTTAAAATCAAATTGTACTTGCATTAATCATGAGAATGTTGTATTGTATCATTAGTCACTCGTTATGACTTCACCAAATACCAATCAAGAAACCTATTATTATCCAACCAAAAAGAAGTTTTGATCAATAACATGTATGCAGAAATCCACAAAAATAACATAAGATCAAATGGACATCAGGTTAGACAAAGAAACTGTCGACAATCATATTTTTTTTTATCATTTCAATTTCCTTCAATCTCTTTGAAGAAAGTAAGTGAGCCTCATGAATTTTGTACACTGAAAAGGTTTTGGTGTCCACCTACCTTATACGAAAAAAATACAAATAACAATGGAATGACGTAACCAAAAAAAGAAGCTGAAACATTATCATGCATAACTAGAATTGCAACATGATTAAACTTAGAATACACAAAAGAAGACTAGAATATAATAGAAATTTGCCACCCATCACTGCACAAATAGCAGAGGCAGCAACGGTTTTCAATGACATTTGTCTTCTTTATGTCAAGTAAACATACCTCTCCTGGGTTAACAGTGACCATGTGAGGGGTAAAACTTCCACCAGATGAAATCTTGTCACCTACAGTTACAAATATTGAGATTATATAAGTTCATACAAAACAGACCCACAAAAAAACAAAGAATTTTGGACCCTTACTATTAGTTAAATATCTAAACTATCCTTGATTTACATATTCATGTGAATCTCTAAGAACAACTCCAACAAATTCTCCAAAATAGAGAAAATAGAGATTTTGGGGATTTTGGGCAAGTTTTTTGCACCAACAAATTCTCCAAAACCTTCCTTCAGAATGGAGAAAGTAGGAGAGAGCGTGAAATTCTCCAAATTTGGAGAACTCCCCAAAAATGATTACCATGAGAGAGAATATTTTATTATTATTATATTCCCACCGATAAGAAACTTTGAAATAAAATGTTTAGCAGAGAGAAATAATATTTTATTAAATGTAATGGATATTTTAATAATATAATCAATGTTGTAATCTGCAAAATGAAGAAGTTGTTGGAGTTGAAGGGAAATTTTGTTAGAGATGTTGAATTTTAATTCTCCATTTTACAGAACTTCTGGAGAATATGTTGGAGATGTTCTAAAGTGATTTTTTTATTCGGAACATGCTAGTTTTGAACTCAAAGAATCTGAACATATGAACCTTTTGATCATAGGTCCTACAAAGTATTAAATTGAAACTTTTTGTGATAAATTAGAAAAATTAATAAAATATCAATCAACTTCGTATTTTGAAGTACTAAATTTGACATCAAACAATCTAAATATATCTCTAACTTAGAATGGAGGTAGTATTTGGCACACTCGAATTAACCAAATTTATTATAAGAATTTTACACAAGCACCATGAAGAATTAACATAAGCCGGTTTTCATCAAATGGACTACAGGATAAGTACTTGGTGCAAAAACCCCTATCATTTTGTCCGCTTACATTCTTAAATTTCATTTCTTGGGTCCTACCCACAAAATGAAAATGAGAATGCGCAAAACCGATAGTGAAGCATCATGCCCAAATAGAACCCAAATGTCAAGCTAAGTTAATGGTAAGAATTCAGCAAATTTAGACATCAAGCAATTGATGAGTGTGTGCATTATTCAGACAAATTAAGTCGGTCAGTCTTAGCTCTCATGTGACTGACATATAAACTCAAAGATATCTCGGAATGTAGACTAAATAAAAAGGCAAAGTAATCTGATTTATGGACACATTTGAATCTAAAGTAGATAAAAGCAGTACCTAAGTTTATACTCCCATACGTATGCTTTGGCTTGGTCTCTGAAGAATTCATTTTCCCTTTCTTCTTTTTCTCAACCATATAGCTGCTCCCACTTCCTTCCCCTTCACCAAATTTTGTATCAGAATAGGCAGCGGAGGCTGGCGGAGCAGAGGCAGAGATGGGAATTGGTGACAATGTGCGACCACTTTCACCTCCACCAGCAACTACACCATCTGGGCCATACTTCCTTGGCCTACCCCTCTTTTTCTTTATCAAGGAACTCGGCCCACCACCACTCAATGGTGAAAAACCAGGTGGTCCAGTGAGCAGGGTAGAGCTATCATTCCTTGGGGCCAATTGATAGCTTGATGGAGCCTCAGGTGCTATTGTTTCTACTGCTGGCATCATATTTTCCCTTGAATCCATGCTGATCAGCAAGCTTCTACACTAGAAACAAAAAAAATTAAAAGTTAATGCTCATCAAACTTGAAAATTTAAGAAATTAAAAGTTACTCCTCTTCAAAGTTAGTATTCCCTCCATTTTGATTTTTAGATCATAAACCTAGAACAGTTCAAATCCACAACTCTGATTGATGGTTTTCTGTATTTTAGCTCAAACATTTTCTAATATAAGAGTCCTTTTTATCGATTAATGCAATTTAAATTCCTTTACATATAACAAAACGAATTAGGCCTAGAAAAGAATGTTGATTAGTGGAATCTATATCTGAATTTGAATTCTATCACCAAATACAAATGAATGTGAATTACATGGATATTAAAACTGGGCCCCTGAGTTAGAATTTGTCGGATATTACCCGAATTCGAATAACATCAAACTCAATTAAGTCAAAATTATTCATATATGAATATGTAAATTATCCAAATCCGACTCTGACTCTAAATGGAATAAACGTTAAAGTTTTTAAACCTTAAAAACAAGAAAAAGTTACAAACACAACAATTAAAAAGAAAATAACAAAAACAAACATGACAAAGTTTAATCATTTCCACACCCAAAAATAACATTCATAGTTGCGTGAAACCGTAACCAATTAGAAGTGAAGGGTTCAGTTTTCATTTATAAATGAACTTGATGTATATATAAGTCAAACCAAACCGAGCCTGTATGTCCCACTCGAAAGCAGGGTTTGGGGTAGAATGTAAGCAGACTTATCCCCTACCCCAAAGGGTAAAAAGGCATTTTCCATGAAGACCCTAACTTGTAAAAAATTGTGAGCAAAAAGGAAAGAAGAACGAAGACTAGCAAATAGTAAGCAACAGAAACAGAAAAAATATATATATAAATTGAAATTACCTTGCTCTTTTAGTCTATATGTAACACAAAATATAGTATTGACAAGCATTCGAAATTCAAGATATAATCCACAAAATATTTAATAGGATCTAATACAACTATATTCAAATTCTTATTTGACTAAAGTAGGAATGACACGAATAAAACTTGAATATATTATAGCTTGTTAGAAATTTCTAACCAATTGGTAACCAGATTTTTCTGCTAGAAACAATTTATTGAAGCTGAAAACTTAATCAGTATGAAACGTCAAAATTGGATTCTGACTTAGAATCCAGAATCAGAAAAAAGTAAAAAAACAAAGTAAGTAACAAAAAATCGAACGAATCATCTAAACAAATTGAAGAAACACAAAACTGATCATGGAGTAAAATCGAGAAGAAAGTAATAAATTCATTATGACAAAATTGCATTTTTTTTTTTCTGATAATAAGGCCACGAATTCTCAACAGTCAGAACTTCATAAATCCAGATTAATCATTAAAAAATAGCATAATCAATAAGGAAAAACGAAATTTAACTAAAATTAGCAAAAGAATCATTCTACATTATCTTCATAATCCAAAAATATAAACTCGAACAAGTAATCAAATCACAGTAACTCACTTTCGAGAAGAAAAAAAAAACTACTTACACAGTTACACTTCAGTATTCGCCAGAAAGCTCTTCAACTGCAAAACAACACAACACAACACCAACTAAACAATCAAAACCCTAGAAATTGAAATCAAGCATCATAAATCACCAAATAAAACCCTAATTTTGAAGAAAGCATTACCGTTTCCGATGAAAATGGAGGAGTTCTTGAGCTGTCCGAAGTTAATAGAGCAAAATTTACCCACACTGAAACCCAGAAACTGTGTGTGATTTTTCACAGATGCATCGATTCTGTGTGTTTGTGTGTGTGTAAATGTAAATAAAAAATAATATTAATTATTGGGTTGAAAAAGGTAATAATTCAAAATTCTCATAAATGAATTGTTTTTTGCAAAATCCGACAAAAGTAAATTTTGATTAAATGAAAATTTTCAAGTCCGCCCTTTAATATTAATATATATTAAAAATTATTATTTTTAAATAAATTAATTTTAAAATTAAAAATATTAATTAATACCATAAATATTTTAAATTTTCTATCAAATATTTGATTTCATTGTAAATTTTGTGACCGATTTTAAAAATATAAATGCAAAATCAATGATAATTTATAAATGTTTTACTCTTTTTTCTTACCTTTTATGTATATAAATGACATAATTTGTTATATACTTCAGTTTTAGGTGACATTTATTTTTTAAGAGGTGTTAAAGTCTGGAGTATGATTTTATTTTTGATTTATAAAAGATGCTTCTGAAGTCTAAAATCTGGATCAATAAGATTATTTATTTTTATGTCTGAAATCTGAATCGGTTAAACTAATGCAAAAATATAAAAGATACATATTTTGTTACAAAAGTATAAAAGATAAATAGTTTTTGCTAATAAATTACTTTCGGCCCCCAAAATATGAACCATTTTTTTTATTAACCTGGATTTCCAACCCGCTATGCGAGCCGACTAATCCCAGGACGACCACTTGTTTTGCATATAGCCCGGAGTCACCGCATTTGAACCTCCGTAGCCACAAGGGGATTTTTATTTCTCCTTGAATTTGAACCTAAAATCTTCTGGTATTTTTGACCTTTGGGGCCAATCAGACACTACCCTTGTGGTTAAAATATAAACTATTTGATAGATGGTATATTATAATTAATAGTTATTAAAGGATATATTTCCAACTTAAAATTTCAGAGGACATTTAAAGCTCTTAAATCTCTTATTTTAGAAATAAAACAAACGCACTTAATACTCAAACGTCTGAACGTATCAGACTTCAGAGATATTAAAAGGTAATGAAAAACATATATTGAATTCATTTTGGTTTAATTTGATCTGATTTATAACAAAATAAAGAACAATTATACTCAACACTTTATTCCAAACCAGTTTCTTTTAGCCATCATATCCGGGTTTTGTTTATATCTGAAAGTACTGAAAAGATGATATAATATCTGTATATTTAAATAAAAATATAAATTATAAAAATATTCCTTCATAATAAAAAGTTGGGATCTTTTCTCCAGGAAATACAACTTGTTAACATGGTGTAATCATTTATTAATGAAAAAATTGTATTTAATTATTATTATTATTATTATTATTATTATTATATATTAAATAATTTAAAATAAAACAAAAAAACGTTACTTTAAAAAAAATACCTAAATAAAGTGGTAAGAGGGAAAACAGAAAATTGAAAAAAGTTGGTCAGGTTTCAACCCCCTTTGACCATATTTTTGTCGTTATTCTGATTTATAAATAAGACCCTTTTTTATTTTTATATATAGAGCAAATTACAAATTTGGTCCTTATAGTTTATACCTTTTACCCATATTCGATCCAAAATCAAAATAAATACAAAAATGGGGCTCGTAAGTTTACATTTTCGCATGGTCTGAGTCCCTGCCATTAATGGAATCGGAAAAATCTGTTAACTCGATTAAGTAAAAGGGTATTTTGGTCTTTTCATGTTTTTGTCTTTATCCTATTTTAACCTTTTCTTTGTGTATACACACACATCCCTACATATTTATATATACACACATACACACACCTTCATATGGATAGTCATAGGTTCATTTGAGAAGTGTTAAATATATAAGAAATAAAGAAATGATCCTAGCCTCTTCCATTAAAAAATTAACGATCAAGATTTGAGGGGCTAATTATGCAGTATTGTATAATTCGGTCGTATGATAACAATATGCAAAAAATAAAGGAGTAGTTCCATAACTTTTACAAAAAGGTGGCAAACAAATTAGAGTACATGCATATGTGAACTATATGTGATTCATATATGAACTATATGTGAATATGTGAACCCATGTGATTCACGTATAAACTATTTAAGTAATTCACATATGAACTATATGTTCATATGTGAACTATTTAACTGTTTCACATATGAACTCCTGTAATTGACATATGAACTATTTAACTAACTCACATATGAACCCTTGTGATCACATATAAACTCTTTAATTGATTCACATATGAATTATTTAACTAACTCATACATGAAGCTGAATGATTTGCATATGAATAATTTAAGTCATTCATATATGAACTATTTAATTGATTAATATATTAATCTTAGATTCACTTATAGTATTATAGTTTTAGGATCCAAATCAACGTCTTGCTCAATATCGCTTTTTGGATTCAGATTCATACTGAAAAGAAAACGAGACTTGATCGAGAAATAATTAAGAAAAACTTGGTGTTTTTCATTTCCTTAAGGCAATCAGCTCTCTTCTACTACTCTCCTGTGTGTGAAGAAAATTTTAATGTTCTTCATTTCCTTGCAAGTACTCTTTGTATTGTTCTTGTAAGTTCTTCTTTGTGTAAGATTGTTTAGGTTAGGTTATCATTTCCTTCTTCCGTAATAATCTGTATTGTATCTTTGTGTGTTAATTCTTGATATTTATCAATAAGAATTAAAAAGTTGAAAAAAAACTGAGTAATTGTATTCAACCCTCCCCCTTTCTACAATTGCTTTTTGTTTATTGTCATCTCATTTGGGACCAACGAGTGGTATTAGAGTCATAAACTAGATCTGCAATGGGCTCTTCTTCTACCAACCCCGCTTCTTCTTCCTACCATGACAATGACACTATTTCCAAGCCTCTAAAGTTCAAGAATAACAACTTTCGTATGTGGAAAAGTCGCATGACACTCTTCCTTGAGGATGTTGATAATCAATATATCTTTATCTTTAAAGATGACATTATTGTTTAAAAAGTTTGGCTTCGTCATGGAAAGAACAAAGATAAAGGTGACTCTTCAAATGATTCTGATGATGATGAAGAGAAATCTGATTATATTGGAAGGTTTATCATCAAAGATCTTAAGTAGTACAATAAAGATGACAAAATGAAAGTTTCCTTGGATACCAAGGTAAGGGCTACCATTGCCTTGTCTCTCATTTATGATGTTTACCACCTTTTGGTGAACCTCACTACTGCTAAGGACATGTGCAACACCCTATGTGTTCTATATGAAGGAACCATTGAAGTAAAAAAAAAAGTAAGAAGATTGGTATCGTTAAGCAATAAGAAGATTGGTATCGTTAAGCAATATGAACTCTTTGTACATGAGAAAGGTGAATCTCTCACCGAGTACTACAATAGGTTTAACATCCTCCTCAACGATCTGAAGATTCATGGCAGAGTCTATGATAATGATTAAATCTTATGCAAGTTCATGGACTGTTTACCAGATTTCTCAGAGAACATCTGCACTTGCATCAAGACAACCAAAGATCTTGATTACATGACTCTTACTGCTCTTTATGGAACTCTCCATAATTATGGGCAGACCAAGATTCAAAAAGGGCATTCTTAAAGGATCCTAAAAGTACTCGTGGTGTTCTTCTTTGCAATGATACGATGAAGTTTGTAAATGAACCCCCTATCACTTGGCTGACTCACTCTGATGAAGAAGTTGTCATATAAGAAGAAATTGATGAAAACTATGTGGGTGATGCTCATGATGAAGGTGATGGACCCACAGTTGATGACTTATCTGACAAGATAGCCATAATGGCTACCAACTTCAAGAGGTACATCAAAAAGGTTTTTCTAAGTTCTCTCCCAGATCTATGGTCACCATCGAATTATTCGTTAGTAATAATAATTATTTAGAACTTTATTAATTATTTTTATTCGATATATTTGATTGTCAAAGACGAATGTCACAATTCTAAAAATATGTTTTGTAAATTACATGAAATTTAAAGTTATATATTTCTATTGTTTCATAAATAGTAAACTTTTTGATAAATATTTTATTAAAATATTTAATTTAATTTTTTTGAAAAACTAATAATTAACTAAGATATGTAAGATTGATCAATTTTATTTTTATTTATATTATTATATGTAATGGTATTTAAAATTTACTAAATTTTAAACATATTTCTTTTGTTATTTTATATCTTTCAGCTAGTTTTTGCCAAATTTATTAAGTTCATCAGTTAGCTTATTACCTACCAGCATGAGCTACCAGCTAGCTTATCAGCACAACTATCTTATCAGCTAGTTTTCCAAACATAGCTTTCCGAGCTTTTTGACGTTTTTTTTTTCAATTCTAACGTTGATTAATATTAATTGTTATTTATTACTACTAATTATTAATAAATATTAATTATTACTAATTTTGATAAATATTGATTGTTAATTAATA